AGCAGAAGTGCCTCTGTGCTCCTCCCTGACTGCAGGGCACTTGCTCTGCTCGTAGAGGAGTCTACTGCTCAGGCTCTGTACAGCAGAGCTGATGCAGCCCTGCCTGCTGTGCTGCAGCCCTTCCAAAATCTCAGGGTTTTAGCCAAAATTATCCTGGTCTGATACTGTGCGTATTTGTGTGTCTGGGCCAGTGTGGAGACATCCTGTGAGACCAGAATAATGTCTCTGGTGAAGGATGAGCATTTTGTGGTACCAGGGCTGCTTTTGTTGTGTGAAGCCACTACAGCATCATCCTTAAGCTCACATCCTTAAGCCTGTGCATGGAAATCTGGCCTTTAGAAACAAAGTGTTTATCTTGCTCAAGAGYTGCTGCTCTTACTGCAAGAAGACTTGTTGGGAAGGAATGTGGAAAGCGCACAGTAGGATGGAGTACCTTCTTCGAAAGAAATAATGTATACTGTTTATATTTAATGATTAAATTAGCTCAATCACTACCAAGTGCATTTGAATGGGTCAGAAGAGGATGTTCAAGGTTTTGAACMATTCTGGCAAAAACGAAGGGCTGGAGCCTGCACCTTCATGGACTTTCTAGTCTCAGTTTTCATCAGTGACAATGGAACAAAAGACGAGACAGAGCACTGTATTTGCTTTTCTGAGGGACAGATGGAGAATAAAATATATTATTGTGTTCATGTCTTCACACATGAAGCTGAGAATTAGAACAAGTATTGTACCTCAGTGGAAAAGCTGGTGAGAATAGAAATAAATATTCCAATCAGAAAAGCAGGTGCTAAAATGTGTCTTTTCCCCTTATAAATCTGGATAAGTAATATATTGGGTTGCAATTCCTGAAGCGCCTTAGTGAAAATTTTATATCAAAAAAGTATTAAAATGTCTTTGTYTTTGTACAAGGCCAGATTTTACATTTGATTCTGACTGACTGGAGAGATGATGAAAAGRAATGCAGGTGAATACTCTTTCAGATTGAGAAATGTATAAGATCAGTAGAGAAAGGAGACCTGATTTTCCCTTCCCTCAATTTTGTGTTAACTCAAGTATTTGAGAGGTTCTTTGGTTTACTTTCTACAAAAGTGAAGAGTTAATAGATAACACTATTGATATATATACATATATATATATATATATGTTTAAAGAAAGAGGACAAAAGGAATGAATTCAATTCAACTAAATAGATGATGCCCCAACTGTGGTCTGTACCTAGTATGTACAGCCACAGTTAGCATTTTAAGTTCTGAGCTTCCCATCTGCACACACTGCTGGTCTGGAGAAAATTTGACTCAAAACACTTTGAAAGCATCTTTGTTAAAAAGTTAGGTAACTGAATGAATGAAGCTTATTTACTCAACCACCTGCTGAAATGATCAGACACTTGCTGGAAGCTGCCATTAAAAACTTCTGAGGAATTATATCTGGTTCTGAAAATCTGGAAAAGAGTAAGCTATTGGTTCACTTTCTTCTACAAATATGGGTGTCAGGTTATGCTGATCTAGAATAACCACATTAATTTATGAATCGTGTTTGAGCACCAAACAGATAGTAAGGAGATAACTAGCCTTTTGTTTGATAAGATAGTTTGCAAGCAGAATCTGAACTTAAAAACTGAAAAGGCTCCAACTGCAGTCCATATGACTGCACTAGATAGCAGGAAAAAAGGTAAAGGTTACTTTGGAAAATTCTGGCTATGGCTTCTATTTTTTTTGAGATTATGGATGCAGACGCAGATGCCTGTAGTAGTTGGGTTTTGCTTACCTTGTCACATAACATGGGATGAGGGTAGATCTTCTTTGGGAAACATTTTAGCACCGTATTTTTCTGTTTGTTCCAGAACTGTTTTTCATTTGTCAGGAAAACTAGTAGTGAGAACAAAACTGGAAGCTTGCATTGAAGGTTTTGAAGGCCATAAGCACAAGAAAGAATAATTATTCTCTTGAGAATCTAAACAAGCCTGCTGTTCATTTCACATACACAACAGCTTCTACACTTGTACTGAAAATGAATGATGAAATTAACATTGCCTTCTCTACGGTTGCTTGGAAGTCTTAATCTGGTCTTGGACTTGCTTGTCTGACTTCATGTCTGTGTGAGGTGTTATTGGCCTGCACTTTAGTTATCAAAAAAAAAACCATCTGCAGGAACATCATACAAGGGAAACTGTCAATAAATCAGAGCAAACTTGCTGCTCCCTTTTAGCAGAGACATATTGTTTGTTTGAAAAGGGCAACAGCAGCTACCAGCTTAGTTTCCAAAACTCAATTTTTTCTCAGTTAAGAAAAAATGCTTTTGTTTTATTATTTTTTTTCCTTCTTGTAATTCATACCATTACCATCATTTTTTATACATAGACACCTGATGTTTCAGGTGCATTGGGTAGCTGGCAGCTCCATTAGTGAAGGCAGCAGCAACCTGTAAGGAAAGACTAAATCAACAGGTGTTTCTCCAAGCTGTAGATTGTTTAGGAGAGTTATATCCTGAAGCATTACTATTTAGAAAAAAAAAAAAAGGAGTATACTTTTATGGATTTCCATGGTCCTTGGGCCACCAGTGATGGCTTTATACTCCTGCGAGAGCAATAGGGACAAGACATCAACAGAAAGAATAAAGCAAGGCAAATGAAGAATTAAAACATATCTCCAAGATAGGGTGCAGAATCTTAAAGGCTGGAGATTTTTAAAAAGGAGTTAAGACATCCTCTTTCCCCAAGGCAGGTACATCATGTAACGGGTGTGTGCTGCTAGTGTAATACAGAGTAAGAACAGAGAACTCCAACAGCTTTGCTACTTTGGCTTTTGTTTTTAAGATTAAAAAACAACACATCAGACAGTAGTAGTTAAATAAGTAACCTGCATTACTTGTACAAAAAGTTATATAAATACAAGTTTGCTGGTGTGTTTTCTTTTTAGAGAAGGAAAGCATCCTTTCATAAAATAAACAGCCATTCTTATCTTATGAGATGCTGCCAAGTCACAATTCAGAAGACAGACATGAGAAATTAAATCCACACTGTGCAGACAACACAGTGGCCCCTCCAGATCAGATCTTTTCTGTTTATCCTGTGCACAGTTACACAGATACAACGTAACATGTGGTAATTTTAACATAYTTTGCTTTCACACAAAATAAAATAGTTCCCCAAACTGCATTTTGTTAACTAATGTTTCAAAAATATCCATCACATCGTCATCATCATCATTGTTATTATTATGTTATTAAGGAATTGTCCTTCATTCCATGCATAACTATCATTTCACAAGTTAAAAATATCATCCCTCCCTCATGTTGTAGTCGATAAAGCACTCTGTGCACAGTGAAGCAGATCCCCAATCAAATGCAAGTGCTATTAAAATTAAGAGAAATACACTGTTGCTGTTGATTTTAGAGGAACAAAGTTCTGGGGAGATTTAAAAAAAAACAAAATAGTTTTATCTGGACAAAAAATGTACAATTATTAATATTGCACTTTTTATACAAGAAATCCTAATAAATATACAGAAAAGATATACATTTACATACACAGAAAGTCATTATTCTTTTTTTAAATAAAAAGTTACACTGATGCTTATTTCTTGAAGACCCATTTCTACTAAGAGCATTCACTGCCAGATGTGTTTTGAAGTAAGCCAATTTGAGACAGTTTAATGTCGTGAACCTGGCACTGACCTCAATAACMGATCCCCAGTTTCACTGAGAAATCCACATGTCATGGAAGCTGTAGCATAGCAGAACTCAAACAGCATTTCATTAATATACCACAAGGCACTCGCCCCAACAGGGCTTACAGGAGAGGCACAACCAAGCCTTTTGTTTAGAGAAGGTCTTGAACCAAAACCTGAGATCCAGGTAGTTCTCCCTTGAAGTTCTGCAATTCTCAAACTCTGTTCTTTGCAGATTTCCCTTATTTTTTATTTTTTTTATTTTTATTTTTTTTTTTCTTCTGAGCAGAGCAGAGTGCCCAGGAACTAAAATCATGCAGCACTTCACTGGCTGAATATCCACTGCAGCTGGCCAGGAGGAAAGACTCACAGCCTGCATGAAAAATCATGSTGTGAGTGTGATGTTTGAGTCTCATTTTTTAGACTGTACCTTCAGGGTGTTATGCATGGATTTAAAGATCTACTTCATAACACCTGTTTTGTTGTAGGATGCAGCTGGARAGGAGCAAGTTTGTTACAAATTATTTACATTAGCCCTATGGGGCTGATGCTAAAGCTATTCTGTTTCTACTGAGTAGCAACAACCATGAAAAATCAGAATAAAGCTATTTTCTACTTCTTGTCCAAAAGGCTTGGCTGCCAGGAAAGAGAAAGTTCGTGTTAGCAAAATGGAAAAACCCACTTCCTCAAGTTCTTTTCCAAAACCCCAGGTCTGAAATTACCAGAACTCTGGGAAGTAGTACCTCTTTTTTCTAAGTAATTGTTAGCAGGATGCAGTACGTAAAGTGTTTCCTGTGTACCACATACAATTTCTATCTTTCCTGCCTATGCTCACTACAGAATAGCATTTGCAGGTTTGTACTAAACTCTGTCAAGCAGATCATACTTGTTCTCCTTTTGCTGGATAATAATTAACACCATCACCTCATCTCTCCTTTGCTCTYTCTGTGCTGAGAGCAACCCTTCAATACACAGTCCTCCCTCACAAGCTCAAACTGGAAACATTTTCAGGTGCATTTTATATMCACTTATGTTACAAACCATTGTTCAACTTCTCCAGAAACCAGATCCTTAAAAAAACATCAAAAGGATGACCCTTCCCTTGTGGGAAGGAGAGAGTGGTTTAGAAATAAAAAAGGATTCAAATCTTGGACGCAACAAGTAAGTTTATAAAGCAAAGTCATGTGCTTGTGCTCTCAAGGTAGCCTAAAACACACGAGACTGCTTGGAAGAAAGGGACCTGGGGGTGCTGGTGACAGCAGCTGAACATGAGCCAGGGTGTGCCCAGGTGGCCAAGAAGGCCAATGGCATCCTGGCYTKTAKCAGCAACAGCKTGGCCAGCAGRAGCAGTGCAGGGATTGTCCCTCTGTACYCAGCACCTCCAATCCTGTGCTCAGTTCTGGGCCCCTCACTACAGCAAAGACATTGAGGTGCYGGAGTGYGTCTGGAGAAGGGATACAAAACCTGTGAAAGGTCTAGCAAGCACATCCTACAAGGAACAGCTGGGGCAGATGGGGTTGTTAATCTGGGAGAAGTGCAAGCTCAGGGGTGACCTCACTGAACCCTAYAACTGCCTGAAAGRAGGTTGTAGTGAGGGGGGGTCAGTCTCTTCTGCCATGTTTCAAACAAAAGGATGAGAAGATATGGCCTCACGTTGTGCCAGGGGAGGCTCGGATCAGGTATTAGGAAGAAAGAAATCAGTGAAAAAGTAGCTTGGCATTGGATTAAGTTGCCAGGGAGATGGGAGATGACTCCAGGGTGGAGTCACCATCTCTGGAAATGTTTAAGAGGAGTCTGGATGTGGCACTCAGGAATGTTATTTACGGGGCACTCGAGAACCCTGAAGATCTCTCTCAACCTCGATGATGCTGTGATTCTGTAACATGATGCCAGATTATTACTCTGGTCCTCTTCCTCATCYGTCTCTTGGTGTGTCCCCCAGGCATGTACACAGATTGTGGGAAATCCCGTAATCCCACTCCTCTCATACCCAATGCTGGTGGCGTGGGTCTCTGTGACYCTTTGTGGTCTACCCTCATGACCATGTTTTGCTGCATTCTGTCTCCCAGATCCATAGGGAAAAACTTCTCAAGTCCCTTAACAACAATAATTTGGTAAAAGGTGGTTTTTTTTTTTTAGGGAAATAAATAAATAAAATGAAAAAGATATTTCCATTTCATCTGTATTTTCTGCAAAAGTCTTTGCCTCAGAAGAAAAGGCTGCGATCCCCTTGTTCCTCCATTTTCATTTCATCTGTCTTAAGATTTTCCACAAGTCCCACAGCAACGTGACTTAAATTGGGTGAGCTGGCAGAGTTTGAGCTGCTTCACTTTCTCACAGTACCTTGTGGTGTCTCTGCACTCCACTGCCAAAGGGGAAACAAAAAGAAGAAACAGTGATGAAGCTATGAACAAAGGATTTCTTACCTGAGAACACACATGCCTGGGGGCTGAGAGGTGGACCTTTGTGTTGGGAGGTCACACCATGAGTGTGATTTGCTGCAAAGACTGATTGTGTACTGCAAGTCCCCAGGCTTAAAGGAGAATTGGTGGTGGGCAATATTTGCTTTCAGAGCCTGAGGAGAAGGCTTCTGAGGCTGCTCCAATGCTCTTTCAGTTTGTCATCTACCAGTGTTTTAGAGAGTAAACAGGTAAACCAAAGATGAAGTACTAAATGAAACTGGGAACTTGTTTTAATGGAGTAGCTCAGAGACTCTTTGGCCAGTTTTCCACCTTTGAAGAGCCAATGTGTGGAAGTGCCACCCCAGCTGATTGGGTGTTGTGTTTTTCCACACATCAGAAACTACCCAGTGTGAAGAGGTTAAGACACCTTTTGAACTCCTCTAGGGTTTAGGTTCTGGTGCCATTTGGACAGTTTTTGAGGCCCACAGCTCCATGCTTTTTAATTTGGAAAGCTACTCAGCATGCCTGCAGGGCCTTGGGACATGGGACATTTCTGTATAGCAGAAAGAGGCTGGAATTCCATCAAAGGTCTTGCTTAGTATCTGTGGTCTTCCTCATCCCTTCAGCTTCCTTTAGGGCCCCCCAAAATCGTAAGTTTGGATCTATGTAGTCTGCTTTGTCTCTGCTGAGAGGGAGCATGAGGGCTGGTGTGGATATAAACAGGCACATGGGGGTTCTGCTGCTGCATCTGCAATGACTGCAAACAACTGGCTTGCAAGATAAGAGGACGAGAGCATCATTTCCAAATAGGAACATCATCTGTTCTTGTTTGCTCATTCATTTAGAAAAAACTACATAATTTTCTAGTCCCTTGGCAGGTCCAATTTGTGGCTTGTAATCTGAAAGGAAGCAGTCTTTCCTCTAGGATTTCCCATCATCCACCAATCCACTGGATCTGGACTATAGCCATAAGTCTGGTTGTGATTCATGTTTTTCTGTCTGTCTGTATGATCAACTGAAASTTAATCACAGAATCACAGAATGGTTTGGGTTGGAAAAGACCTTAAAGATCATCTTGTTCTAACCCTCCTTCCAGGACAAGGATACCTTTCACTAGACCAGGCTGCTTAGAGTTCTATCCAACCTGGTCTTGAATACCTCCAGGGGTGGGACATCCACAGCTTCTTTGGGAAACAGATATCTGTGCCTCACCATCCTCACAGTAAAGAATTTCTTCCTAATACCTAATCTAAACCYGCTCTGCTTCAATTTGATCCCATTGTCCCTTGTTCTGTCACTACATRCCCTTGTAAATAGTCTCTTCCCACCTTTCTTGTGACCTCCCTTCAGGTACAGGAAGGCCACAATTAGGTTACCCTAAAGCCTTCCCTTCTCCAGGCTCAACACTCCCATCCTTCTAACCAACTTGGTGGCCTACTATGGACTTGCTCCAGAAGACSGTATGAATTATTTCTCATTAGCAAGGGGACACAATCCGAGTACTAGCACCATTGCCAAAAAAACCCCACAAAGGGCAGCATTCCCCACTGGCCTACTGAGTTTTAGGCATTGGATTTTGCAGATGTCTGAGCTGGGGATTCCCTAGGATGCCCCGGCTGCAAAGTTTCAGGGATCCCGCTCTGCCTCCTTTGGCACCCCGTGCCCCTCTGCCTCCCCTCCTGGCAGCAGAGTACCGTTTTCACAGGGTGTGATGTTGCAGCGCTGCCAGTTTGCCGGCCTGGGCCTCCAGGAGCAGTGGTGCTCCATGACGGGTTTGTTGGTGCGGATGTGCACGCAGTCCACGCGCCGCGACTGGAAGCCGTAGTTCCCGCAGGTGGCCGTGCAGACGGTCCACAGGCTGACCCGCCAGTGCACACCGCAGACATCAGTCCAGCAGTTCTGGGTGACCAGCGGCCTGTGGGCAGGAGGCAGGGAGGGACACAGACATTACAGAAGCCAGAGGTGATTCCCTCAGAGTGCTGTATGGGTCGGATCTTGTAAGGGTGCCAAGAGAGGCCAGCACTTTGGAACTGCTCCCAGGGACCTCAGTGGGCACACACAGCGTACCAACACTGGGCTAAATGACCATTTGAACTAYTTGATTTGGCTGAAATGTCCTCTCCATGAAGGGCCAAACCAGAGTTCTGCTGAAAGGGCAAATGAGTGGTGATCAATGTCATCCAGCAAGACTTTGTCACTTTTTTATGGCTTTACAGCCAGTTCTCTGAAACCCTCCTTTTCCTTTCAACACAGTCTCACAGAAGATGTATAGGGACACTTGGTTCATATCTATTTGTCACACAGATARTGCAAAGACATGAGGGGAAGCCTGCAAGCCAATTACATTAATTTTCAGCTGTGATTGGTCATGATTTTCACACCTGTCTCATGTAAAGTAAATGTCTTTACAGTCCGGACAGTGAAGTTTATCTGCAGGACAGCAAAACYTGTGGAGATTTTTTTTCTCAGTTTGAGTTTGTGTTTCAATAAGTGAGAAGAAGACTGGAACCCTAAGAAGGTATAGCACAGCCTTTCAGTCAGGATTTGGCATGCATAGAAAATTTTCCTGTTGTTGGCCAGCCAACCTGAAGCTCCTAGGAACACAGGAAAATAGGGAACTCTGGGCTTAAGCCTGAAAGATTTGTTACACAAAACTGTACAGGTTGCAGCATGACCTCTTTGTTACACAAGGGAAATCTGTGAAATTTCACTTAAGTCACTAGTCCATTCAATATCTCTGGGAAGGGCTGTGGGTTCAGACATAAGGGATTGCTGTCCTACCTTGGTAAGGCACTGCATTGATCAGATGACACAGAAGTTCCATCTTTGGTCTGGCAAAAGAYCTGTCGGTGCTGTACAGCCAGTCGTGGTCCAATGCACGGCCCATTGCACTGTGAACACAGAAGATTCACTCAGGAGAGGTAAAARGCAGGGCATGTTCCCTTTTTGTAAGTCTGCTGGTGAAATAAAATGCACACTGCCATTCAGAGACTGTTGAGATTTCCACCACTTTCTACACCTCTGCAGGCTGTGAAGGCTGACTGTGCAGTCATCTTCTGCTCTACCTCACTCTCCTCCAGCAGAGTTTAAACTACATTTCTGTATCTGGTCTGTAGATTCATTACCTCTTCTCTGCAATAATCTTAAACACATCTGTTAGGGGAAATTAAATGCTCTCATGCCATTAGCCAAGAACCAATGATCCATTCAGGAAATCTCAATATATTGCTTTCACTGTGCATTCTGCAGTTTGTATTATCACAACTTATGGCCAAAAAACTAAGAATGCATTGAACCAAGAACATATTCCATTCCATTTAATACTTTAAAAGCATTGAAGGACAATAAACAAAAGCAGCAGGCATGACAGACACAGCAGATACTTCATGCTCACTCCAAYACTGAGGCTATCCTAACTTATTCAAGCTTAACAACCATGCTTCAGTTTAACTATTGTAATTGCCTCCTTTGACTAAAATATATTTAGCTATGGGTAAGAASCATGTACTTGTGCTCTTTCAAAATTGTATCAACTATTAGGAAATTGTTTTTTAAAGCATCTTATATCCAAGAACAAACTGGGAGTTGAATAAGGGGTCGTTATTGTGAGGAAGGAATTTTTTGTAGGGAATGGCTGCTGTCCGACCCCTCTGCTGCTCCCTCACAAGTAGGAGCCCTGTTTCACGCTACCATGCACTYCTCTCATAATACTCCCTTCCTCCTGCTATTTCTTCTTCCCTCCCTGACAACTGGGAGAGGGAAGCCAGGCTCCTAGGTGCTTCCAGCAAACTGTCTTGTGGGAAATGCCATTCACTGGAGTACATGGAGSATTTCTGTGATATCTGCAGGGGCTAGCGGTCCTCATCACCAGTAGGCCTCAGTCATCAGTGAAAAAACCATGGTGTTAGTGGAGATCAGGGTACCAGGAGCATTAAATGAAGGAAAGGAATTAACTCTAGAGATGGGGGTGGAGTAGGTAGGCTTTCCTTTTCTTTGTAAACTGGGAAAGTTGATCACCACACCTGTGCAACGGGGACCTGATACCCCRCGATCCTACCAAGCATTGATCCACTGAGCCAGTGATGTGTTCCTAACTGTGGAACAAGCTTCTGGACAACTGATTTTTGACTAGGTACAAGAAATATTATATGATAATGCACAGAGATTAGCTCTAAGAAATTAATTCTGAGCTATCAGATAATTTCAGCTGAGTATGATGTAATGGGGAACAATACAGCCCATACTGGTTTTTACAAAGATGATCCAGTCCTTTCCTGGAATTCCATTCAGAGTAAAAATTTACTTCTTTGATATAAAGTGATTATTCCAACCTTTACTTGTAATACAATAACTCAGTCACCTTTCAGGAGTTAAATAAAGATGTTTGGAAGTAGTGAACAATAACACATTCTGGTAACTGAAGGCTTTTTTTTTTACTACCAACGTTGTAAAAAAGCCTGACACAACACAATCTGCCAAGGAGAGTTTGAAGGTCTGCAAAACAGCGTGAAGTGGTCTGAAAATGCTTTTAGCCCTCCATTCTGCCTTTCATGAGGCAACTCAAGAAAGCTCACACATTTTGGTATTCTCAGGCAACATCAGCAACTCTATAAAACTGAGTTATTGTACAGTCCTCCTGTTTTGAACTGATCACAATCACCAATCCTGACTCCAGCCAGCCAAGACTGAAGCACACTTGCTGGTAAGAGGAATTAAGACTTGAAGAAGGCTGCTTCCCACKTGTGTCACTTATCTCTTAGACCTTCCCACTGGGGGAGTCAGGGCTCTGCAGTTAAAGTCCTGTCCACAAGCAGCATTTCCAAGGACTCTGGAAAGAAGGACTTACAGAAACCCAAGCAGGCAGTGCATAACATACAGAAAGAAAGAGCTGAGCATATTAGTGGCCTCCTCAAAAGCCTGCAAACCATAACCTAAAGATATCAGGTTAAAAATTCACTCATTATTTGCCTCTTTTTTCTAGCCCACACCATGGGCCTGTCCTTGGAATGCTGCCCTGCTCCTTACCTGGCCCCAGGAGGAGGCCACCCACTCAACACAGGGCTGCCTGTTACAGCTCTGTGTGTCCACAGGGCGCTTGGACACCTGGGCACAAGCCTCRTTGGACATGGGGACAGAGCTGCCTTTCGCTGTCAGGCGCTGGCACGTCACTCGCCGCATCTGGATGCCTCCACCACAGCTCCGAGTGCAAGGAGACCAGGATGTTACCATCCAYCTGCGAGAGAAAGATCAGGTCAGGGACCAGGCATGTACAAGATTCTCCGTCTTTATCTGCTGGACCAAAGACAAGAGTGCCTTGATTCATTTAGAGTGCAATCCTGGAAGGTCTGAGYGTCTCAGCCTCCCACAGCTGTCACTGAAAACTGCTCAGAGGATGAAAGCTGAGAAGAGAGCACTTTTTTTTTTTTTTCATTAATTTATCTTTCTCAAGGCTCTTTGGGCCTTGAATTAATTTTCTAGCCCTTTAAGCTGTTTTTAGAGGCTTAGTAAATACTTGTAGCCCTGGCATAGGGGTTGGGCAAGTCCGGTCTTTCACCATGGTGCCATGACACAGGTTACAGACACAATGCTGGGATTAGCCTAGCAGCACCCCTTAGCAGGGAAAATTATCTCCATGTAATTGCTGCAGTAGCTCACAGGCCACGTCAAACTTGCTGGCAGAGAACAGYCAAAAGCCTGCTGGGTCCTGCTGGTGCCTGCCTCCTCTGCTGCAYCCCTGACAGCTGGGATATTCCAGAAAAACCTAAACATTACTTAGTAACAGGCAGCCCAGGGAAGAAAGGACATTATCCTTCCCTCTTGAGCTTAGACCTTGCATTCACCAGCTGAGTCTGAGTCTCTGCACTCCTGTGTACTGGCCTTTAAAAAATCCAGTCCTTGCTAAAAGGCTGAAATACAGAAAATAACCAACTAATACATTTTGTCACTGTAAGGATCTTTAAATGAAACACTCATACAGCCAGGTTTGGGAAAGCATTAGCTAGGAATAGGAAGAATGCAACTCATTGCTAGCTTTCTGAACAGTTTTATGGTCAAATCCGCTGTTTGCTTCATTAAATTTCTGGATACCTGGCAGAATTGYGTGGTTTTGGGAGTAAAATACTGCCTATCAGCCTATCACTACTGCCTCACCAGCTGTGTTTATGATAACTTTACAAAATAGGCAATAGGTATTCTCCAGTCCCTTGGAGAGACATCCGTTTCTACTTCTCCATCTTCTGCAGGTGATTAACTATTGTGGTCACAGAAACAAGTGTAAAAAAATATATTCCCAACCTGGAGAACAAGAACACTGGTACTATTTTCATGCAGTTTGGTGAGGTTGAACCTCCAATTTCCGCACTGCTCATAAAGCTTTGGTCTGCACGTCAATCAACTTTTATTCCTGAGCTTACGTCTCAGCAGGTTTCTCAGGAGTTGAGGGAGGATTTGGGGTTGTGTTRCAATTCAGGGAAGGTATAAAGAGACATAAACCATTCCCATGGAATTTACTGTCATCACTAAGAAAAACTGCTGCTAATGAGCGTGTTTCATATTTCATCAAATCTCTTTTGGTTTCTTTCTATGACTCAGCTGGCAACTCAGAAAACATCTGCCTGCAAAGAAGGGCAAGAATGTATTTTAAAAGGTAATTAAACAGAAACTTGCAATATGCCCAAGACAYAGCGAGATTGGCAAATCTGGCCACTTCTCATCAGGTTGCTTAACAAGTGTCCTTGCCTTTGCTTAGACTGTCTTTTTTTGTATACCAGTCCCAAATCACTGTTGAATGAGGGAGGTTGCACTAAATTTCTCTTGAGCTGMTCACTACTTTTAAGTACTTGTGTACTGAAACGTACCATGTCCACTTTGGAAATAAGGGAGAGGAGGGAGTGACTGACACCACAGAAAAATATGGAAAAATATGTTTACACATCTCAGCTAAGGAAATACTGAATTGCAGAAGCAAGACATTTTTAACGTGGAGGGGGCAAAACACTACACTGACTCTGGATACAGAGGATGTATTCTTAAGAATCCTCACTGAGGATGTATTCTTAGCACGAAAGAGGGGTCAAGGAAGGACAGGCTTTGTGTCGGGTGTCAGGGAATCATTTAGGTTGGAAATAAYCTATGATACCATCAAGTCCAATCATTAACCCAGCAATGCCAAGTTCACCACTAAACCATGTCCCTTAGCATCACATCRACACATCWTTTAAACACCTCCAAGGGTCACTCAGTCACTTCCCTGGGCWGTTCCAATGCGTGACAACTCTTTCCAGGATGTATTTTTCCCTAATAGCCAATCTAAACTTGTCCTGGTGCAACTTGAGGCTGATTCCTTCTGCCTTGTCACTTGTCACTTGCAAGAAGAAGYKGACCTCCACTTCACTACAGCYTCCTTTCAGGCAGCTGTAGATAKTGATGTGGTCTCCTGAGCCCCCTTTTCTCCAAGGTCAACATTCTCAGCTCCCTCAGCTGCTCCTCAAGGGACTTGTGCTCCAGACCCAGCTTCTCAGTCCTTCTTTCTCATAGTGAGGGGCCCAAAATTGAACACACTACTTGAGGTRGGACAGAGAAAGACTTTCTCTGACTTTCTTTCAAGCTGTCTTGGCTCCTTTGTGTTTAGTAGTAAGTGTAAGCCAGGGGACTACAAGGGCAACCACAAACTAGCAAACTCCAAAGAGAGGCAGAACTCACCCTGAGCCTCCTTCATGCCCACTAGATCTGAGGGATGTATCCATTTGACAAAAGATACTTCCACTCTGCTCAGGGAATTCTTTTCAGCTGCAGCTATAGCCCTTTCTATATTGATGTTCAGGCAACAAAGGAACTCAGAATAAAACCACAGAATAGCTGCTAAACTTAGTTTCTTGTCTGCTATGTCATTGGGGCAAAATTCCATGAAGCCATGTAAAACAAAAAATAAATGATCCTACAGCTCTTGGGTGACAAAATTTTCATTTTGCTCAGAACAGGCATGATATATCCAACATAGGGTGTGGCTGGAATCACTCAACACACTGCAAACTGTGAACTCTCTTTCTACCTTGTACTGTAAAAGCTTTCCACAAATACTGCTACAAAATCCCAGCTGCCTGGATTAAGCACCCATAAATTCCCTTTCAGGCATGACTTCTCCAAACCAGAGAGGCTRCAGTGGTGTGATGTCCTGCACCAAGAACTCTTCCAGCACGTCRTGCGTGCGTGTATGATATTTTCACATGAGACACACAAACCGTGAAGGGCAGTCTCTTCTGTTGCACGCGATGGGCTGCAGGGCTGGCTTGGGTGTCTCTCTGCAGTTGGATGTGTTGACTTCAGCTCCATCCAGTAAGCACCTCAGCTGGGGCAGCTGCACCCCTCTGTGGCCGCAGGAAGCTGAACAAGCTGTCACTTTGTCCACTGACCACCGGTATTCTGCCAGCAAGCGTGGGAGAGACATGTTAGCACTGAAAAACTGACAGAGGCGTTCAGTGAGAAAGGAGGGAGCTGACAATGTTCTCCAGGATGAAATCCAGGAAGAGGAACTACCACCCCCTGCAAGGWACCTGATTCAAATCCCTGACTGCCTTTGGTGTAGAAAACCCAGTTTTTTTGGTGCTTAGAAGCATCAGGCATGGAAAATGAATAACATGATATGGCAGTGAAGTGTAGCCAGATGCCAGTGAGCAGGACTCTAAAAGGTGTATAATTTAGTGAAGTTGTGGTTAGCTGCAATTCCCATCGCTATCTATGACTCTGTGATCTTAAAACACTATGTCTCTTACCAGACAGACCATTTCAGTTCACCTGTCCTGAAAATCTATGTGGGAGTTGCAACAAACTCATAATTTTATAGCAAAACTGAAGGAAAAGCTTAATTCATCACTTCTCTGCCACTGACAMTTGGAGCAATAAAAGCTGCATGTTCTGTTCCAGCCCAGCTACATTGYAGTGTTCTGTTACTCTATCACCTTTGTCTTGTTTCTAAGACTTCTATAACAATAGCAGTTCCAGAACTTTTACAAGTGAAGGGTTTTCAAGGACGAAGAGGCTGTGGAACACTGACCTTTGTGTATTAACAGAGGGGCTTCTGGTTTAAAAGGTTTAAACTTGCCACTTCTGGATAAGAAAATTGTCCAGGCTCAAACATACGTGTCATCTGAATCAGTAAGATGTGTTCTTATACTCAGTAGGGCAGAAATACCTGGTGTCATTTTGGTAACGTAAAACCTAAGACACCCTAAAGTACCCAGTAGTCCAGCAAATCTATATCCATGGTAATAAACCATTAAGTCATTTTTTTTCCTGATATCCATGGCAATGGCTTCAGAGCGGAGAAATTATGGATGAGAAAGGCAGTACAGGGAAGTCCTTGGCAAGAGCTTTCCAGTGTGGYAGGACTGAAATTGAGGAGTTACCTTGTATAGCCAGGGACATGGTTTGTGTGAGTGAGCCAGCCTCATTCTGAGCAAGGCAGCTGAATTCACCATCAGAGAAATCACTGACATTGAGTATCTGAAGAATTCGTCCTGCTGCCAGCAGCTGATGTCGCAGACTAAGAGGCTCACCAGAGTACAGCCAGGTGATGTTCGGGGTTGGACGCCCATTGACAGCACAGCCTGAGAAACAGGGACATGAAAAAAAACTGCTGAGTACTGAACTTGGTACATGCTTTGAAGTGGTCAGAATTAGGGGGAAATAGTTGATTCCACCCCATTTTCTCCTCATTTTCTCATAATGATAAAAAGTAATTCTGTAGTAAGGAATACCTTATCATCATCTGGAAAAAAATATAAAATCCAAAAGCCAGATAATCTGCAATATGAAAAAATCTGTGATCAGTTTGGAATTATTTATATCAGACCTTCTAAGGTTCCCGCTATTTTTGATCATCCTCATTTTGGTACTGAAGATAGGGATAGGGAGGTCGTAAACCTGGCATAAACTCAAGGACCGTGCTTGAACAAGCAATTAAATACAACTTGGTCTCCAAATTTCCTCTGTAAGTCACAGGGCCACCTTTCTTTCTCTCTCTCTCTCTCTCTCTCTATCTCTCTCTCTCTCTCTCTCTTTTTTTTTCTCATTTTTAAATGTTATTTATTGTTTGTCTATTTAATATTAAAAGTTAAAGATTTTTGTTACAAAAAAAAAGCTGAAAAACCAAAGAGATAAATTTTAGAGGTTTGGAGCTTTTTTTTGGCACAGCAATGGGCAATTCTCTAAATAGCAACCAACCAAAACCAGCAACTGCAAAAACCCTGATGTTCTAAAGCATTGTGTGAAGCACAGGGATTACCAGCACAGCTAATGAGTTTAAGTCCACAGCAAGTCCTTCTTTGCCTGCTGACCTGAAGTATATCTACAAGACGCTTCTTACTGTGGTCCTCTTATCAGCTGAACGCTTTGCTAGTTTCAYGATGAATTGCAGGAAATTTGTAAGAGTGGTGTAACTTGGGAAAGACAGATAAATTTCCTTGCCTATTTCCTGGGGGAAAAAATAAGAACTAGGCAATTTCCATGGKGTAACTCATCCACAGCAGTTGCAGGAGTGGGGAGTTAGAAATACTAAGAGTGAGGGATGTATCACTAGGACTACTTGTGGCTTAGGCTTGTTCTGCAATGCTGTGTGTGTCAGTGAGACAACAAAGGTCTCTCCAAGTTTCTGKGAATGCAATCTATCCTGATTGTTAGCTTATATAGTTATACTGAAGCTTTATGCTGCTTTGTTTATATTAGTACATATGAGAATGAATGAGTATATTGTTTAAAAATTCCCTTCTGAAAGAATTGTCCTATACAAACATAACATAAACACATCAACATTCACACGAGAACCACTCTAGAGGAATGGGATAAAAAAAAAAGAATATGAATTTAAAACAGTAAAATGGAAGACTATTCTAATATGACAAAATAATCCCTTAGCTGATATTTCTTCACTGTCAATTCTGTTTAATTTGATTACCATTTATTATTCACTGAGACAAATAAAGATGTGAATATGAAGTCTCTGCAGCTGCACCACACAATTAGCAGATGCTGCAATGTGACATTTTTGTTACTGCTCTTCCCTCCTTTCTTGTTTGCCCACTTGAGAAGAACCTTAACTAACATATACTGGGCAAGTACTGTTCCTACAACAAAATACCATTGTCACTGATCTGCTCGTGAAGGTTGAAGAGTTTGATTTCCAATCATCATTAAAATGAAACCCTTGAGACTTGGGGAACTTGTTACTTTGTTTAGGAATCCTTGCTACTCTTTGGCTACACCTCTAAACTAACGCTAGGGGCTGGGCTACACTATTCCTACACTATTCCAAGTTCTCTTGCTTATAAACACAAGATCTCACGCAAGATGGAAAATGCCAGTGGTGACCTGTGGCATGCCCCAGCCATCTTCATGCTGAGAGGTAGATCCAGGCAGTGAGAAGACACCATCTCCCACTCTGAGGATAAACTCTGAGGCTCTCACTGATGCAGCGGCTGCGTGAGTCTTTGCTAATYCCCTGCCTGCACGGATGGGCATGGGCTGGATACAGCTGCCCTTCGGGAGTCATTTACTCTGTGAAACTGATGTTTCAGAGAGCAAGGGCTCCCTGACAAAAGACTGACACACACAGTAGACTGTGCTGTCCCAGTGACAAAGTTGCACCGGARAAGAACTGGTAAATGCAAATAAATGTTTAAAAATATGGGAAAAGGCAGAAAAAAAGGTAGAATGACGGAGTGAAAAACCGTGCCCAGTGTTTTCACCTCTTCCCTTTTTTCACTTTTATTTAAAAGAGTGAAGAGTCTACTATTTGTTTTCATTTCTTTGGCGAGATTCAACGCASTCTTATCCTTGGCAGTTATCTCTATCCAGCACTCACTTCCTGACAACAGAGACACAGCATTCTTTGCTGCTCCCTGTCCATTTTCCTATTTGTGTAAGCTCTCTGTCTATTTGTTTATTATCTATTTCTTCTGCTATGTTTCATTTTTTTTTTTTTTGTGCTTTTCCCCCTCTCGTGCTGGAAAATAACTTATGCAGTTTCCAAGATGCTCATTCTCGAGTAGATGAGTGACATGAAAGGTTTTGGCCTCAAAGATTTAAGGCAAAGTTAAAAACAATGGAAAACAAAGGAATATACAGAAAATGGACAAGCTGAACAATAAGTGGCTCTGTGTAGATTGTTCTAGGTTTTTTTTAGTTTTTACTTGTCTTTTAAGGTAATCGTAGTGATTTCCACAGGTCAGCATATGGCCATGACAACTGAAAATGACACCCTGTGAACCCAGTTTTATTGTTTGCATTTGCATTTGCAAACRGTCTGCAGAGTGTAAATGCAGAAAGCAGAAAGGTCAGCTTGATGCTACACACAGAGGAACTGAACCTGAATTCAGCATTCAGATGGTCCTAGCTCATGCTGTTTTCCTTAAAAGAACTGTCAGAAAAAYCAGTGTTTTCTCATTGGTACTGGCTATTTTATTTGTCTTATGTATTATTTCTTCTTCCAAAATGTGTATATAAAATACTAGCCAAAGGAACAGCCAGTAATCAACAATACGGGAGAAAACTTCCAAAAGCTATTCCTAGATATGTACTACCAGGGAGCAATTATTGCTTAACAGTAAAACTTAACTAATATCTATCAATCACATTTCACAAGTGACATTTTCTATACATTTCCCACATGTACAGATGCTGTGGGATAATATTTTAGTCACAGTAAGTGAGAACTAGAGTACAATAAAACCCATTAATAAATCCTTCTCATCTTCCAGCAATAATTTTCATACCATTTAATGCATATTACTAACACTTACTTTCTATTTCCCCCATCCCCGTGGACATTGACTATTTTATCCTTTTGAAGTTCCAAACCTCTCCCTGTAATACCTGAGAAGGGAAAACTGGCTTTGTTTCCAGACACCACAGCTATTGCAGAGATTTTGGATATTGGAACCCTCAGGAAGATGATCACAGAACAAATTTTTGGGTCTATTTTGAGACATAAAAGCTCTGGCATGAGAGGGTCTTTCTGCTTCAGTCCTTCTTAAGCAGAGATAGAAAATACTGCCTTCAGCCTCCCTTCCAAAGACTACTGGGACTCTGAATTCATTCAAAGCCAGGATGAGTCACTGGTGTGCAAAAGCTGGAGATRGAAACAAAAATCGAAGACACACGATATCTTCTAGCAGGGAAAATGCCAATATTTCAAGGGGGTATTATGAAAGGGAAGACYCATGTTCCACAACAATGCTAACAATTTGTTGGGAGGAAAGAATAAATGCTCACTGCAGGTCAAATTCAGCACCCCATTACTTCTTTGTAATAATTCCTGAATGACTGTAGGTGCAGAAASACTCTGGGCTACCATGATAATACTAGGAGAAAAAAATACAAAGCATGCACCACTTTTTCACTTTCAGACTTGTATGAATGAAAAAACAAGTGCAAAGTACATTGATTTTAGAGTTTTTTTTCTTTTTAGCATCCTGATACTGTATGGAAAACAGTGGTAAAGATGTCAAGTGAATTTTGCAAATACTAAATACATGTGATAATGTTAATAAAATATAGCACTGACCTTAAAATAGATCTCTATTCTTAAAATACAGATTATTTCCATGCTTTCATATTTGTCTAACACGTAACTCTCTAATTGACTGTTGACATGATGATTAATCCCAGGCAATGTCTCTAATCTTTATTAAAGATGGAATGTGAGTGAAGGCTTCAAGTCAAGATCAGGTAGTTAATTAGAAATTTCTTTAAACAAAACAGTCCTAACATCTGACCTCAACAAATTATTTAGCTTTCCAACTGCAGCCCTGAAACTGCTGTGCCATGAGAAGTAAACTCACTTTTTCCCTTCCCACTCTCCCGTCAGCTAACCAAGGGGTGTGAAGGTGCATGATCTCTTACCTGAGGCCAAACCATGTGCCAGCAGTGCAACTGGACACCAAATTCTTGTCTTCTTAGCCTCAGGCCAATAATTTTATATTTCAGAACTATTTTCTAAATAGATAGAGGTAGGTCTGGGTAACGTGGCCTGGCTGTAAACACAGACTGTGGTATAGAGTTTGAATCTACTGGTATTAATGTTYAACTACATGCTTATAGCTCCATTTTACACCCTTGCTATTCACAGTGATCACATCTYGCAAAACAGGAAAATGTTTGTGCTGCATTATTTCAAAATACTTTCAATCAACCAAAAAAAAAAAAACCAAGGCTGAATTTGACAAAAAGTAAACTGACCAATTGGATAGTGACTGCCTGCATCACACCAGTACAGTGCAAATGTAGCACAGAAAGTTCACAGAAATCTTCAACAAGACGAGAAAACCAGAAGGCCTATGCCCCTCCTGCTGCAAGCCACAGACATGAATCTATCCAAACATAAAAATGGGAGATGAAAGGTGATTGCTGACTGTTATCTGAAATGTGTGGCAAAGATGAAAAGAAGGGTTTTGGCRACAGAATTAATTAATTACAGTCTTAATTACATTAAGACTGAAAAAAAGCAAGATAAAGAAAATAAYTTTGTGTTTCTATTTTACTGTACTCTAGCAAAAGAAAGTTACAGACCGCAACACATGGTGTTAAAGCAATAAAAGTAATGCACCTACGA